GCTGGAACTCCCGCATAATATACTGGAGTTCCAGCAAGTATAAATGTCCAGTATAATATACTGGAGTTTGGAGCACCGGTGCTCCAGTCTCCCGTATATTATACAGGAGTCAGCAAAGTATACCGGTCCAGCATAATATGCTGGAGTTCGTACACAAATGCACCGAACTCCCGTATATTATACGGGACTGGTCTCTGTTGCAGCAAAATAGTAGCTATTTTTCATTGACTTGGTAAACGCTGGCTATTTTTGATTGACCAATGCGAAAATTGACTATACCGTGCTATTTTGACTGATTTACTCCTTCCTCTTTCTCTCAAGCTACCACATGTCTTACAACTAGGTTTTTTAACAAGTAGAAATTTCATTTGGAAGTCTTAATCAAATATATTTTGAAATTATCTCATGCTTAATTTTTAAATTTTTTTATGTAGTAATTTATCTTAAATAATCATTACTTAGCCATTAAACTTGGGAGTAAAAGTTTATCCCAATTAATTTCGGGTAAAATCAAATACATATTTTATATTAAACCCCACATATTCTATTTTAATTTTAATAAACCAATACGTTTATTAATAAAATTATATTCACTAAATAATTCAGATCAAATTTCCCAAACCAACTAACTACTCTATAAACAAAGGCATCAATAATTCCGGGTCATACTTCTCTTCTACCAGGGTCCAGAGATATACCTTTTGCTGTTGTCTGAATTGTTTTTGTTAGCTTTGTTATAATTACTTATTATCCATTGAAGGCGACCAGTGCCTACCTTGTGGCCGCAAAACGAAGTTTTGTCGCAGTCACTTTTGGTGTCTTTATCTCATTAGTTAGTTGAGTGATTGCCAAGCTTGAATTTTTGGTTCATGTACCAAAGTTGTTTATACACTCTTCGCATAGGTCCAAATAAGTAGTAGTAGTATTCTTTTAAGAAACTAAAAAAGCATTAGTAGTTTTTTCTTCAAGTCAACCAATGCTTTAATAATTGATTGTACAATTTTCTAAATAGTCTCTTCTCCTCCGGAATGTAGTTATGGTGAGGTTACTCCAACCATTACTCTATTTTTTACTTCAAAAAAGAATATTCTATTTATATTCTTCTATCTCATTAATATTATATTATTATCTTTTAGCAATATCTAATATTTTATATATGCACCATTCATTTTTTGAGATGATTATATATTTTTTATACAATTATATAATAAAATTAACTTAGAATTTTACATTAAAATAATAAATGCATAAAAATTAATCTACCAAAATTATATGCCAAAGTTAAGATGTAAAATTAATATTATAAAGATACTACATAAACATAATTAGGTATATATAAAGAGATAAATTAAAAGAGTTAAATAATAAAATAAGCATGAATAGTAACAGAGGAGATGAATAGTATCACTCCATATTTGGAGGAACACTATTCATCCCCTAAATGGGGCCCAAATGGGGGAGCATTGGAGCTCCATTATGGCAAAAAATGCCCCCATTATGGGGAAATGGGGAGGGTAGGAGATGCCCTTAATAGTTCAATTGAAGGGGAGCCTTAGAGCGGTAAAGTTGTCTCCATATAATCTATAGGTTACGGGTTCGAGCCGTGAAATCAGCACTGATACTTATATCAGAGTAAATTATTTACATCACACTCTTTGGGGTGGGTCCCTTCGGACCGAGCGAACATGAGATGGTTCGTGCATCGCACTGTCTTTTTTTTCCTTCTCTTAATAGTTCAATAATCATTTTTAGGGGAGACAAAAAAATGTCTTATAATGAATATATCATAACCTCACAAGAGTTTATATCAACTCAAGTTAATCTGCATATTAATTAACCATAGTTAAGCGATAAAGTTTTATATATATATATATATATATATATATATATATATATATATATATATATATATATATATATATATATATATATGTATATATGTTTTGCATAGATATAAATATTTGGTGAGAGTAAGTATTTAAATATAGTTAAAATGAATTGGAAGTATTAGCATACTTGTATCTCTGCAAAATATATATATATATAGTGGTGCATGAGAGACGAAGAGAATAACGCTTCTTCTTCTTCTTTTGCCTCTCTCCTCTCATCAAAAATGGCGGGCGAATTAGAGGGAGTTAAGAAGACGCTGCTGAATAAGAAAGTGTACTACGAGAATTGCCCAGGTTGTAAAGTGGATCTGCACAAAGCAGGGCAACGTGGCTTGCCCATTAAGGAGCTCTTCACTATATGGATTGTGATCCTTGGCACAGGTAATTAATACCCATCCATTTATTTCATCATTTTTTTAATATAACGGTTATACGGATGAGCTTGCACACATCTCGATTAATTTTACAAGATATGTGCTATTTTTTACTAGTAAAATATATGAGAACTCTATCCACCAAGACTTAGATACATATAAAAAAAAATAACCTAGTATATCGTCATTGGTTACTTCATCAGCTCCCTTGCCATGTTTTGCGGTGAGCTAAAAAGGAAGAAAATGGCCAAGCTTTTCGTAGTAGTATCATTTTCTCAAAACGTACTCGAATATTTATACTAAATAAATACAAGATAATGTTGTTTTCGTACTTACATTTATGACTTGATCATGGTTGAGTGAGAGTCATGAATTATCAACCAAAAAAATAAAATCTTGAGTGATATTCTTTTTTTTATGAGTGATATTTCTCACTTTAATCTTTAAATGTTAAGCATACATTATTTGATTTGATTTTATCGTATAGTAGCATGTCCTTTGTGTTTTTTCTGTTCTTTGTTTTGCTGGGAATTTGGGTTTCTGTGGTGGAGAAAGCAAGCAAAAGTTCACCATTTCAAACTTAATTCGTTTTCATGTGGACAAAAAAATTACTATTACGTACTATTATTCTGTCACTTAAGAAAACTTTTACTATGTGCCTTAATTAAATGCTTGTGTTGTAGTATAATGTTTTCCTATCATCAGTTTTCATTTCTTTTTAATCTCCTTTTAACTCATTATTATTATTTAAATCATTATTGTTATCATAATCATGAACGCTTTCTAAATGAAAGCTTTATTCTTATCTGATTGGTATATATCACTTCGCAAGTCAAAATTCATTCTCCTGATTTCGAAGATTTAAAATTGCTATTTCTAAGTTCTAAATGTTTCTTCGTTAAAACCACAGAAAGAAGATTGCCAAATATAAAAGGAGTAACATCCAAAGCAGGAATTACGAATATGTGACAAGCTTCTAAAGAAAATTAAAACTACCAATTTATTTTATCTAATTAAATCTATTTATATGTCAACCTGGTTTATTTTTTGTTTAATATATTCCAAACCAAATCAACCAACTACACGTCAACATTACCTTTTAGATAGTATATTATGCAAACAGTAGAGCAAACCTCTCTAATTACAAATTGGCCCGAGACAATGTTGGTTGTCGGGGTTCCATATTTTAGTAGAGCCAGGGGCAGTTGCACCAAGAGTAACTGAACCAGTACTTTTGACGCGGAGTATATATTTATATGTAAAAATCTATTAAACTTGCGAAAAATAGTGAATATGAACCCATAATTATTTTAAATATACTATGGGTTCAATGCTAAAGACATTAAAGATTGAACCCATAGAGATCAAATTCTAGATCCGCCTTTATAAGATCTAGCTCAGAAATGGCTGATGTTTTGAGGTTAATTATCAAGTTTTGAGTGCCACAAAATCCTACTGTTTGGAGTACTATGTCTATTGCATAAGCAAAAATTGTCTAAAACTCTAGCAATTGGTCTATTATCCAAAAGTTCTAATAATTTTTACTTGCCAATTGACATGTTGTAATTTACACCAATGCACTTTGTCAAAGTTCTGATTTATTCATCAGTTTCTGGAAAGTAGATGCTATGTTACCTATGTTGCTCGGACCCCAGAGGCGGAGCCAGGATTTCAAGCTTATGGGTTTAGGATTCTAATCGTTTTAAGTTACTGAGTTCTAAATTAATGATTTATACATATTCAATGAATTTTTTAAGATAAATACAGGGTTCGAACCAAAGCTACTGGGTTCGGCCGGACCCGCTGGCGGCACTCTAGCTCCGCCATCGGGTGCATGTCGGATCCTCCAATAATAGTGAATTTTGAAGTATCCGACATGGGTACGGCGGCATTTTGGAGAGTCCGCGCAAATAGCATGTTACTGCTTTATGTACTAGTTACTTAGTCGAAAATCTGATATTGTTAGGAATTAAATTTGAGTTTATGTTCTAAAAGTCCAGAATGGGTGGTAATGAGTATGTTCAAATCGAATAGCGAAACAATTTAAGCTCTTAATTAGGAATCTATGTTGTCCCTCACATCAAATTATCTGATACAATGTGTCACACGATTTATTGCATTCCTTTTTACTCCACTGATCTCATTCTTGACGGATGCAATTATTTTTGGTCTACTCGGATAGTAGTCCGCTGCTAATTTGAAGAGAGAATTGTTGTTTTCTTAACTCGTGTAATTCATTTTGAAATATCAGTGGTAGTTTTCATACCAATATTAAGAATGACTTTTTGGAAGGAGCCTTGGCGTAACTGGTAAAGTTGCTGCCATGTGACCAAGAGGTCACGGGTCAAGCCGTGGAAACAAACTCTTGCAGAAATGCAGGGTAAGGCTACGTACAATAGACCCTTGTGTTCCGGCCCTTCCCCGGACCCCGCGCATAGTAGGAGCTTAGTGCACCGGGCTGCCCTTTTTTAGCTGTCCCTTGGAAGCGCGTGCGAAGCCTATATTACCTTTTCAAATAGTCTCATCAAATATTGATTGTTATATTATATGAAAGAATATGAACATCAAGCTCACAATCTTAAGACAATGGGTGGAGCAATGACAATATAAGATGCTAAGGTATTCTCATATCAAACTATCTGATATAATGTGTCACATGTTGTATTCCATTCCTTTTTACTCCATGGATCGCATTCTTGATGGATGCATTTATTCCTTTGGGGATCCTTCCTTTGATTTTATCTGTTGATACTCCGACTGATTTTGTTTTTTTTCTGTTTCATGGGATTCAACACTTCAGCACTTCCAATATCATCTCTCTTTCCATTTCTTTATTTCATGGTAAGATCAATCAACTTTTTTGGTCTGTCATTGAGTTCAAGTTTTCTCGAATACATAGAACTAAGTGAAACAAGATATCTTTATTTAAGAAGCAGAATTGCAATTGGTCCCCTTTGTTATTTTCTTGATTGCATAAAACTACTAATTTTCGCTTTCCCTACAGATAAGGGACTTTCACATTGCAAAGAGAGAGGAAGATATCAGTTACTATGCAGGTTATGTAGGTAAGCTTATTTCATGCCATAATTTGTTTGTTGATATGTAATCATATAGAAGTCTGTCGAAAAACTGCTTATCAATTTCCTGAAATACTGAAGGTTCTTCATATATGCTTGGAAGAGCTTTGACATCTGTCTTTTGGGGACTAGTGGCTGATCGATATGGCCGAAAACCAGTTATAATCTTCGGCACTTTTGTAGTGTACGACTAATCTTTATTGAAAATGTTCTCTTTTCATTCACTTAAATTTCAGTGAGTTTATACAGTTTTTGCTGTAATTGTGCTTCAGGGTTATTTTCAATACTCTCTTTGGTCTTAGTGTCAACTTTTGGATGGCAATCATAACGCGATTTCTTCTCGGTTCTTTAAATGGTTTGATTGGACCAATAAAGGTATTCTATCTGCTTAATACCATTATACAATTCTGTACTGCATCCTCAGCTATTCTCTCAAGATACTTACCTTCTTAGGCATATGCTGCTGAAATTTTTCGTGAAGAATATCAAGCACTGGGAATGTCTACGGTAATATGCCCTTAATTTTCAGTTATACAAATGATTTCTAACAAATGAGAGGATTGTAGACAACATTATAGAGACAAGAAATGGCAAGAATGCAATTCTGAGTGACCATTTAGACAGTGAATTTTATGGAATTTTGTTTTATTTTTCTTGTATGTTTGAATTGTTTCAGATTAGTACTGCATGGGGAATCGGATTGATTATTGGCCCAGCTTTAGGAGGCTTCCTTGCCCAGGTACTTTCTTTTCCTTAGCTATTTTCTTTTTGTATTCCTTCCTACTGTTGAGGAATGAGAGTTTAGTTGTTTTATGATCAATTGTAAGAGAAATTTCATAGCCTAAAATTCTTTGTGTTTCTTCTTGTAAGTATCTTCGCAAATCTTAGCATATATACATGTTCTCTAAATGTCCTGTTTACCAAAGCCTGCAGAGAAATATCCGTCAATATTCTCTAAGGATTCTATATTTGGGAGGTATTGTGCTTCTTTCTTTTCATTATTGTATATCTTCTTTTGCTGCTTGAATTGCTCCTTGACTCTAAAATATGATATTTTTCTGCAGATTTCCCTACTTCTTGCCTTGCTTAATCATATCACTGTTTTCCTTGGTTGTGGCTATTGCTTCATTTTGGCTGCCGGTAAATCTACATGATTACGTTAATAATTTCTGTGTCTATGGCACATATTGTTTAATCTTGTTTGCAGTCATACAATTGGTATTTCACCTCCTGAACTCACTTGGATTTTGCATAAAGTCTTAGTGGACAATCATCACATATCATTTCAGATAACCATATTAATTTATTTTCCAGTGTTGCTGAGAATGAGAATCGTCTAGCCATCTGTTCCCTTTTAATATTTGGAGTTATTTTTGGCTTCTGTACATTCGTGAGGCGGGTGGGGAAGGGCTTGTTCTAGTTGCAATTCCATTTCTGATTTAAACTTACCCCGAGACAGATCGAGGTTTGCCTTAGTTCTTTTTCTTGTTGGTGCTGGGAGTCTACAACATGTTGAAAGCAGTGGCGAAGCTAAGAATTTCCCCAAGGGTAATCAAATTTAAAAGAAATGAAAATAATTCCCGACAAAAGGTGTTCAATATGCGTTATATACCTCTAAAACGTAATATTGTACCTATATACATAGTGTAATTTTTCGACCAAGGGTGGTCAAGTGACCACCCTTATGAACATGTGGCTTTGCCCCAGGTTGGAAGAGAGGAAACTCAGGTTTAGCTGGTGAAGTGGAGGAATGAGTCGGGAGTTTCATTTTCCGCCTCTACATATGTGGCATTGTGTTGTGTAGGGTAAGGAGTTGCTGTAATAGGGTGTATTTCTGCTGTTTCAATGATGAGAACATCTTTAATCATAATGGAACATTTCTTCATCTTACCTATGTATATAGGTTTCTGAATTTCTCGAACCATATTAATCTGTGTGTCTCTCTCTCTCTTTTCTTTTTCCTCTTACTTTGTTCAGTATCTTTTCTGGTTTTCCCAGGTTTAGCTGAACTGTGTTAAATCATAGAATTTCATCCCTAATGCTCATGGATTGCAGGAAACATTGCACATTCATGAATCAAGCATGCCGCCGCACGATTCATACGAGACTCTGGAGGCTGCATCTGATGCAAAAGAAGGAAATGAATCAACCCCAAAAGAAAATCTATTTAAGAACTGGCCGTTGATGTCATCCATCATATTATACTGCGTCTTCTCTCTTCATGATATGGCTTATACAGAGGTATACTATATTTTCTCACCCAAATTAAGTTACTGTAGGATAAATCATTGCATTAACAGATTATGGTAGGCATCTTCTTTTACAAGAAAGATAAAGCTATGTATATCTCTGGTATGAAAGCCAATTGATTGCATGTTGTCATGCAATGACTTTTTTGGAAACATATTGTATTTCATCCTTAGGCAATACATTAGATATTCCTAAGGGGCAATATTGGTTTATGTTTATGCTGATCTGGTGGGCTGTATCATAGAACCCTCCAACGGTACTGACCGGGGTTCGGTTGTTCAGATGCGCAAATTCTTCTTCAAATTGATACACATATTAGCCGACCCCAACTAGTTTGGGATTGAGGCATACTTTTATTTATGTACCAAATTTCTTTCTGCTGCACAGTATACTATGAAAGTAAAGGGTTTCTCTCTTTGATGGAAAAAAAAAGTGTCTCTTTTACAATTCTGCAGCTCTGTCTTCTGCGTAGAAAGCCTAGGCTCATTAGCTTTTAGAAGCTTAATAAACATGCTACTTACTACTCATTCTGAGAATAGGTGAGCAACAGCAATGGGCAATGATAGAATTTAAGGGTCCACCAAACTATATAGAGAACCAGGTTCTCTATTAGTTCCCACAGAACACACGCACACTGCAGTAAGTAAATGATACAGAGGAATTTTACGTGGAAAATTCCCAGCTCACGGAATTAAAAACCACGACCTGCCCTTGTAGGATTTCAACTTCACTACTGAGCAAACTTTAGATTACAACCTATTGTAACCTAGGAGTTAACCTCTTAATCCCTCACTAACTTGTAACAACTCTGTTACAAGCCACTCTGTAATAACTCTATTACAAAGACCTTACAACTCGACTAACTCTAGCCAAGACACAAACACAAGGGTTTATGATTTACAAAAGGTTTCCAGCAATGCTTCTAACTAAGCTAAGTAGGAATTACAAGTAAGGAACTTCAACAAAGGTACAACACAAACTAAGGACATATAATAACTCAATACAGGGAACTGGTCCGTTGCTATGTTTTTCTTTGTTCTTGATGCCCGAGAAAGTCACTTGCAAGATTGATGAATCACTTGAGAGAATGCTTGATAAGTTCTTGAATGTGCGAGTGTTTTGTTTTTACCTTTGCTTGATGTTAATAGTTCATTTGTGACATCACTTGAATGATGTAAGCAAGGTAGGTAAAGGGCATTCCCCATAAGTTGACTGATGCACTGTTCTCGCACAGTTGCGTGTGCAGGCAGCAACTTTACAACTCGAGCAGTTGACTTGTCCAGTCAGCACGGGAACTAGTACTTGTCTGTTCCCTCCGTTGTTCCTTTGACTCTGAAGAGTTGAACCATGTCCCCAACTGGAACCTTGTTGATCTTAAGGTCTTGAGAATGTGTAACAGGTTCCTTATCTGGTTCTTGACAGTAAGTTTGTTAGATCATCAAAACTTAACAAGAATGCATATATAACCTATCAGGCAATGATCCATTTCCAATACTCTACCAGTATAAAGTTTTCGGCCCCAGCATTCCATTGTAAACTTTTTTAGTAAAGTGCTTTTTCTGTATCTATGAAGATATTATGAGTGCTGAGTTCTGACGTTCAACTTTTAATCTGTTGAAGATTGCAAATTCCTGGTGCTGTGTAGTGATTGTTTTGTTCCTTGATTTTAGTATGTGCATGCTATTGCAACTATACAAATAGATCCTCTTCAATTTGTTTGTAGGATTTTGAAATTCCCTCCAGGGTAAACATAATTAATACATTTATCATGATTGTTCTTTCAATCTTCTGGCACCAGGGAAGTTGCATAACTAATTCATTACATCATCCCAAACCTATTTTCTTCTGCAGATTTTTTCATTATGGGCTGTGAGCCCTCGAAAGTTTGGGGGCTTAAGCTATTCAACTGCTGATGTTGGTGAAGTACTATCAATCTCAGGTACATCTCAATTTTCTAGTAATTTATATTCTTTTACTTAAATGAGAACTAAATCAATGTTGGCTGTGATTGCAGTACACATGATTAGTCTTCATAGTTATCAGTTATTTATGCTAACATTTCCATTCTTGAGAAGAATACTGGACCACAATTGTGTTTATATAATATTAGTATACTATTACCATTCTCTAGAAGGGATTTTATATTGGTAATCTACAGAAGAATTAGCTCAGGCAGAATGTTATTTTGAAAGCATCTCAATTATCTGCTGCCTTGTTTGACATAGACAGAGCTACACTCAGATATATTTCATTTCATATAATTATAAAATACTGGATACTGAAATGATGGTGGTGTTTCAGGGTTTGGCCTTCTAGTTTTCCAATTAACTCTATATCCGTTGGTAGAGAGGTATGTTGGCCCTATCATCGCTGCTCGAGTTGCAGGAGTAAGCACTTGACTTGTACAATATGATTAACTTATGAGTTGTATCCAGGCTTCCAAAAAATCTTGAAAGGATAACTTAATTTCCCTGATATGATCAGGTTTTGTCGATTCCCTTGTTGACAAGTTACCCTTATATCGCTATGTTGTCTGGGATTGCCCTTTCTGTGGCAATAAATTTTGCATCCGTAATGAAGAATGCTTTGTCTGTAAGTGATTTTTCTGGTTTCTTTAATTTACTTTGTGCAAGACTAAAAATGAGGAGATGAATGAAATATGGAAGTGAATGTGATATTCTTAGAGAAGTAGACCTCTCTATTATCACGAGTATATCGTACACCACTCATATGGAAGCAAAATTACTATACTTGAACTATATTCTACATCCTAGTATTGAAATTCATAATCTCAAGTTCTAACATTGACTTTGAATTGTCTCCAGATCTCTATCATAACAGGATTGTTCATATTGCAAAACAAAGCAGTGGTAAATTCTTCTTTGCTCCCTCCTTTAAAAGATATTTTGTCAATTGCAGAAGCATTATGTCATAATGCGATATGCTTTGCTTGGTGTCGGTCTGATGTTAAATGATTAACAACCACAGAACCAGCGACAACGGGGAGCTGCTAATGGAATTGCCATGACAGCAATGTCAATTTTCAAAGCTCTTGGTCCTGCAGGGGGAGGAGCACTGTGAGTTCACTTGTTTTATCATTGTTCACTTCTGCTAGTTATAATGTATTAGTTCTGATTGATTAGAGATAAATAAATCTTCTAGTATTTCTAATGTGGATAAAAAGATGCTTTTCCATTTTACTCTTGGTAAGGACTTTAATAAAGATGAAACCTTTTGAAATGGTGTTAATACATACTGTAGCATATGGTTGAGGATGCGACAAACTCTTCTTACTACAAAATTATTCTCCAGATCTACTATGGTTTTAGTAACCATTTAACTAGGAGAACCAAATTAATGCAATATCCCAATTTATCGGTTAACCTTAAAAATTTTATATGAACATGTCAAAGGCGGCAACCCCATGATCATCACAAGTGCTAGTAGCCAATATTTTCAAAGCATCTGTACCAAAAAAAAACTGTTCCTCTTCCAACTAAATCATAGCAACCACCTGGTTTTATTTCCGTTGCTGTAAGATCATGAAGATTTGGAATCTATTCTATATGAACTTGTTCGTATGATCAACATGGTAAAAGTAAATATACAAGGAGAAAAAGCTCTTCTAGGATTGCATCTAGATAGGCTGAAAGCAGTGGAAGGTTTACTGAACAGTGCACAAGCACTAGAGGAATTCTTTTGAAATGCAATTTCTGTCCTTTCAGTTGTCAGGGAATGATGATTTTCATGGGGTTAAAACTACAGATGCTCTTGGTTTTTCCCATTTATGTGCACGAGTGTCTGTGATGGCCTGCCAGCCTTAGACAGAAAAAGGCGGTGATTTGTTAGTTTGAACTTACAGCAAGTTCTATCTAATCAGGCTTATGAGACACATGGATCAATTAACGGAACTAGTCTTTCTATGTAACTAGACAATGCGCCTAATTTTCCCCGTAGACATTTTACCAGTTAGAGTTGTTTTTCTTTGAGCAAAGGCTCAAAGCTATATACTATACCTGTAATTCTGCAGTGAAGCAGATTTCGAGGCAGCATGTAGAATTCTTTTAAGTAGAGAATAGTGCATTGGCTCTCTGACAATTTAGTCATACATCAGATGACATAGGTCCAAGATTGCCTTAGTGTCAATAGAGTCTTTTGATTTTGATCCTCGAAGACACAGCTATGACATTTAAGAAATGAGAGGCAAATTGGACCAGTATCTGCCATCTTGAGTCTTGGACTTGAGAACGTAGTAGCAGTAACCAGTACAATGAGTCAGGGGTCGGGTGAATTCAATAATAGACGCATGTTGGCATTCCAGCCTTAGTGATGGATCTTGTTGTCTAAGACAGACTGTCTTCTTTTTGGGGTGATAATACCGGGGTGGAAAGTCGGAATATGTTTTTACTTCTGTGCTTTAAAAACTTTCAGATTACATCCCCATCTATTTTCTAACAACTAAAATTGTCATTTTTTCTTGATTTGTGCAGCTTTTCTTGGGCACAAAAAAGGCTTGACGCTTCCATTCTTCCAGGTAATGACTCATTGCTAAAATCATATTTCTACAATACCTAGAGTTTTTGCCTGTGTGGTGGAATGAGGAAGTTACATAAGACAGATAGTTTATACTGCACATAGTAATTTATTCAGCTTCCTTCAAAGACTTGTGAAGATTATATTGCTAAGTTTTTTTCGCTTTCAAGTTCTTTGCTGTCTCCTTTATTTATTTTCTACTCTACATAAGTAAAATTGTGTCATCTCAAATGCAGGTGATCAGGTGGTTTTCTTTGTGCTGAATGTGATTGAGGCAATAGGTGTGCTGATGACATTCAAACCATTCCTAGTTGAAACACAAAATACATAGTAGAGAGCTTATTGATCTTTTTCATTAATTAGTTCACCTCTGTTTTCTTTGTATCTTTTTAGTATATAGTATCAAATTTTTTCTGCTGGCAATTGTTTTGAGGTTAGAGTTACTTTTTATGTTTCAGTAGGATATGGAACTTCATTCATCCATAAAGTTGTGATATAGTATATTTTCAAAAGGAAAATTTACATATTTGAAAACTTGAGAACATTTTCTAAATTTTTTTCTCGGAGCATGCACTAAGCCATGGTTAATTAAGAATTATAGGTAGGAATTATTCATATTATATTAACCATAACTAAGTAACAATCCTTACGGAGATAAAATAAGTATTTTCCAGGAGCGATGTATACGACAACTAAAACTAGAAAGACAGTAGGCAACAACATAAAAGTATACTTCCATGAAACTATCAAAGATCAACGTAGAAGAACTTTTACACTTTCATTTATTTTGTTGATTTATTCCGATAACATTATTTCCTACGGGTGCAAACAAGTAAAGATAACTTTAAAGCTTGTTTTATGCATGAATTTTTATCTTATCAAGCTGACAACACGATACTCTTGTAGAGTAGGTCATTAATATTACCGTGAAACATTAGCTGGTATTTGATTCTCATTCAGCCAAGTATGTTATCTATATGTAGCTTCACATTTTTTAAATGATCCCGATCTTTCAATGCTCGCGTCTAGGCTTGGTCGTTTTAGCAATGCGCGTCCTAATGTTGGAGTAATTTTTGTTTACCGTAGACTATTTATATGTTTATCATATGATTAAGAAAATAATCAGAGGCATAAAAAATAATCTTACGACTATTGTTCAAGTATTATTATAATTAAATGTACTATTTCCTTATTGTATACGGGTAAAACCGAGCGCTTCGAATATCTCGGTTCACGACGAAGTAAACGGAGCAGAGACGCGACCGTAAAGAACCGGAATCGGGGCAATGAGCCCCTCGGGTCGGGGTCCGGGCGAAACACCTGCCCTCGGAGGAATCGGGGCAATGAGCCCCTCGGGTCGAGGTCCGGGCGAAACACCTGCCCTCGGAGGAATCGGGGGCTATGCCTCTCAGGTCCGATTCGAACCCAAAACTTTAAAGAGCATTATCAGATAATCGAGCACGACAAGCAACGGGTCGTGATATTCGTGCCCTACCGGATGTCACGGCGTGAATCTCGGCACGTATCGGCAGAAATCAGTGATTAGCAAAACGGAAGATTTTACCTCTTTTGGAATTGAACTTAGGGTAAAACTCCCCTACTATATAAAGGGAGGTCAAACTATTCATTAGGCATCATTGTAACACGCATATCAAGGCAATATACTCTCATTTTCTCTGTTATTCAAAGTTCTTACTTTTGTTTATCAGTTCTATATTACTGTGAGCTCAGGATTGAAAGCAGGCATTTCATTAAGGCCGTTACTAAGTCCGGGATCATTCCCCCTAAGTGGTTTTACAATTTATCACGTCCTTTACCTGTTTAATCTTATGCAATTTATCATTTGTATTGAATTAATTCCCATATCCTTAAAACTACATATAAATTTAATTGTTATCCGTTTTAGGGTAAACAGATTGGCGTCCACCATGGGGCTAAGGATAATAGTGGCAATTTGATACAAATTTTCATAACACATACACACTATTTTACGCTTGTTCTTTGAGCTTTTAATTTCAAGTCAAAATTAAAAATGTCGAACTCCCAATCTGCCCATTTGAACGTGGATGTTGAGTCCAGCCACCATGGCGAGAACAACAACGTGGTGCCCAGCAACGAGGTGCCCCCTGTTGGTCCCAACGGAGTCCAGTCGCGGATCCGATCGATGCTAACTCACACGTGTCTATCGAAGCAAACTTGCCTACTGACCCCGAAATCATCATTCGCGGGGGAACCCGGTCGATAGCCCGGAGTATACACGACGGTGAAGGTGATGGGATCAACTTGTGCGTGATCTTCGAAGTGTTGCAGGCTCAACAGGAAGCGATAGCCCAGTTGCAGAACCAGAGTTGTGCCCCCAGCAAAGTTGAGCCCGAACCATCCCGAGAAAACGCTCGCAGAAACGAACCGGCCACAGAAAGGCCGGGTGAAGCAGAACCCGGGACCAATCCCGAGATAATAAAAACGCTTGAGGAACTAACAAAACGGGTGGAGTCGGGAGAAAAGAAAATCGAAGCCAACGACAAAAAAAAGTGGAGACCTATAACTCTAGGGTTGATCAAATCCCAGGAGCACCACCGATACTGAAGGGCCTGGATTTCAAGAAATTTGTACAAAAGCCTTTCCCTCCGAGCGCGGCTCCAAAGCCAATCCCAAAGAAGTCCCGTATGCCCAAAATTTCAAAGTATAATGGGACAACTGATCCAAACGAGCATGTGACCTCCTACACATGCGTCATCAAGGGGAACGACTTGGAAGATGATGAACTCGAATCCGTTCTGCTGAAAAAGTTCGGAGAGACCTTGTCAAAAGGAGCTATGATATGGTATCACAACTTACCCCCTAATTCTATTGACTCATTTGCTATGCTTGCAGACGCCTTTGTAAAAGCGCACGCCGCGGCCATCAAGGTCGAGACCAGGAAGTCAGACCTTTCCAAAGTGAAGCAAGGAGATAACGAGATGCTCAAGGAATTCGTGTCCCGGTTTTGAAATGGAACGAACGGACCTGCCTCCGGTCACGGGCGATTGGGTCGTTCAGGCATTCACCCAAGGTATCAACCCCCAAAGCTCATTGGCTTCGTAGCAATTGAAACAAAATTTGATAGAATACCCGGCGGTAACTTGGGCCGACGTCCATAACAAGTACCAGTCAAAAATCAAGGTCGAAGACGATCAGCTCGGTATCCCTTCCAGATCATTTATCCCGTCAGGACTAGTGACAGATCCAAAAGAGTCATCGGTCATAAACCAAGATCGGACAGAGATCGGTATCAACCATACAATAGAGATCGAAGGAGTAATGGGTCCGGACGCAACCCTGCGAGGAGTGAAAGAAGAAGCGATCGAGGTTATAATAACCGGGGACTTATAAGTAAAAACAGTTTCGACAGACACATAGGGTCTAAAGAAGCACCAAGGTTCAAAGTACAACTTCAACATCGATGTTGTCAGTATCGTGTCCGCCATCGGATGCATCAAAGATACTAAATGGCCTCGACTATTGAAATCCAATCCTGCCAAAAGGGACCGCAACCTAATGTGCAAATATCATGGCACTCACGGCCACAGAACCGAGGACTGCCTACAGCTGAGCCAAGAAATAGCCTGGTTATTCAATAACGGGCATCTCCGAGAATTTCTGAGTGATCAAGCCAAAAATCACTTTAGGAATAGGGACTCCAACAAGTAGATCGAGCAAGAGGAACCTCAACACGTCATTAACATGATCATTGGTGGGGTTGACAACCCCTAGGGGCCGATGTTAAACAACATTAAAGTATCTATTACATGGGAAAAACGGACTCGAGATTATGTGTCGGGGGGAACCGTATCTTTAAACGACGAGGACGCTGAACGCATCGTGCAGCCACATAGTGATGCATTGGTAATATCTGTACTCATAAATAGATCTCGAGTTAAGAGTGTGTTAATTGATCCAGGTAGCTCGGCCAATATCATCAAATGAAGGGTCGTGGAACAGCTGGGTGTACAAGACCAAATAGTGCCTGCAGTCCGGGTTTTAAACGGATTTAACATGGCGTGCAAAACTACTAAAGGGGAGATAACCCTACCAGTAAATATTGCCGGAACCGTCCAGGAAACAAAGTTCTACGTGATCAAAGGAGATATGAGATATAATGCTCTATTCGTGAGGCCGTGGATTCACAACATGAGGGCAGTACGCTCGACACTACACCAGACGTTGAAATTCCCCATAGCGGGAGGGATCAAGATTGTTTACAGCAAGCAGCCGGCCGCGAAAGAGATGTTGCGGTCGATGAGGTGACTCCGATGTCCGCACTTTCGACATCAAATTACCTGAGTTCGGCTAACAAGAAATTAACCAAATAGCAACCACCGACACCAGCCCCGACCGGACTAAAAGAGAAAGAAAGAGGCGAAGATGACGATTACGGAGTCCCTAGATCATTCATAGCCCCTGACGACTCCGATGCTACCAAGTCAACGATTGAGGAGCTGGAACAAATCATACTGATCGAGCACCTGCCCAACCGGAAGGTATACCAGGGCATGGGACTAACTCCCGAGCTCAAGAAGAAACTCATTATATTCCTTATGGCTAACATAGACTATTTCGCTTGGTCCCACCTTGATATGATAGGGATCATGCCAGAAATAACTACTCACAAGCTAAGCTCGGATCCGAAGTTCCACCCGGTTAAACAGAAGAGGAGGCCCCAGTCCGAAGTCAAGCATGTGTTCATCAAAGATGAGGTATCCAAACTCCTTAGAATAAGTTCCATTCAGGAAGTTAAGTACCCGAATTGGTTAGCGAACGTAGTAGTAGTAGTCCCGAAAAAGGGAAATAAATCAAGAATATGTGTAACTACAAAGACTTGAACAAGGCATGCCTCAAGGACTCTTTTCCCCTGCCCAACATCGACGCATGATCGATGCGACGGTCGGCCACGAGATACTCAGCTTTCTTGATGCCTATTCCGGGTACAACCAAATTCGGATGGACCCGGGCGATCAGGAAAAAACTTCCTTCATCACTAAATACGACACCTATTGTTATAACGTAATGTCGTTCGAATTAAAGAATGCCGGTGCCACTTACCAACGCCTGGTAAACCAGATGTTTGAAGAACAAATAGGAAAATCAATGGAGGTTTATATTGACTACATGTTAGTTGAGCCCCTACGAGGAGGACCATTTGGAACATTTGCAGAAAACCTTCAACAGGCTGAAGAAGTACAACATGAAGTTAAATCCGATGAAGTACGCATTTGGGGTCGGGTCCGGGAAGTTCCTCGGATTCATGGTGTCCAACCGGGGAATCGAGATCAATCTTGACAAAATCAAAGCGATAGAAGACATCACCATAGTAGACAATGTCAAGGTCGTTCATAGGTTAACCGGGCGTATATCCGCCCTGGGCTGATTCATATCAAGGCCTTCGATAAAAGCCATCGGTTCTTCTCATTGCTGAAGAAGAATAACTTTTCGTGGATCCTAGAGTGCCAGTAGGCTCTGGAAGAACAAAATCGGTACCTTTCTAGTCCACCCTT